GAAAATACTAAGATTGCAGCTGCATCTCCTGGGGAAATTATTTGCCATTTCAAATGTCATTCAGTCTGATTCATTTTAACGGGGAGCACAAGACACCTCCTGCTTGAAAACTGGTCCGCACAGAAATGGCAAGCTGGTTTTATTGTTGCTGTCCTGATGATGTAACCTTATCAAAATATGTGCAGGTTCTGTTTTGTCTCCACTCTAAGCATAACCTTTGGTATCCTGGGTAGTGGCTAAATTAATCCGCTCCCTCAGAACAATGCAATTTCAAACACAACAAACCCCTCCTGTTGTTAAAGAACATTTATCTGCTTTACTTTCATTTGCATTTTCCATAAATTGAGTAGCAGGAAGTGTGAAACACCTGAAGTTCAAAGTCTCTGGAATGCACAGATGTTGATTTTCATTATAGACTCCAAAGATTGGCTCCTAAGCAACACTGCAGAGATTTTTGTGTAACTTAACCACCTTCCATTTGTGTGCCGGGACTCTGGAAACTCTCTAAAGAGCAATACAGCAGATTCCTGGAGGACTGGGAATGACTAGTGTGCCAGAGTGAGAATTGAAGTTATTTTCAAGTAACCTTTTGATTATCTGGTGGGATATTTCCTTAGTCTGATTTGGTTTCTTTTTAAAGATAAAAAATACCAAAATGCTCTGGTTCTTTTGCTGCACCTATACCCAAAGATGTGTGGGTGTGTTGGTGACTCAAACTGGCAGTTGCCCTTCTCTTACTTTGGTATTTATAACTCACAACAGCGTGTGCACTCCATGCTCCTGCAGCTTTGCTTGTGCTGCTTTCTCAGATTTTCTCCTCTGACATAAACTAAGGGATGCAACTGCCCCCACACACATCCACAGGGGTTGGACCTCTGGGGATTTCATGAGTTTTCCCTCCTGAAATATTCACACAGCATCTTGTGACATCTCTGTCTACACCCCTGTTTGGAAAGCAGATCTGGGCCTGGGTGAACCCAGGTGAGGTATTTTATGCTTTGTGTTGTGTAGAGCAGTCTTGGTATTGGGATTTAGAAGGGTATACATTTATAAGACTGGAGTTTTTCTCCATGGAAAGATGAGTGTTTAACATGTGGGTTCATGTCCAAATAATAACATGTGATATTTTCTGCAAGAACCATCCAACACAGGTTTGGCACAAAATTTGCTTCCCTTCAGCAAGGGGAAACCTTGGTTTAAAATTCCAGTCCTCCCTTTGCTATCTACATCAACACAATCAGCAAACTCCATCTTGGCTAAGTGCATCTAAAGGTGTATATTATTGTTTAATGTCTATTGAGTGGAAAAATTGTCTTGTCATCCTGCAGCTTTGCCTCTTTTCTCCTGTGGAAGGAGATATTCAAATAGAGATTTTGGGACTGTAGTTATAGGGCAAATAAACCAACTAACCAGTGACACTTATTTGTGTACCCCTATCTGAAGCTTAAATTGTTTCAAATTGCCAAGCACATCATGTGTAGATCTAATGTGAATACTGTGTTTGAATTGACTAATACTTTTGTAGGAAAAGGGAGAAGAAGACAGAACCAAAATTCCCTGGGGTACCATTAATGAATATTTTCCCAGTTTTCCACTCTTCTCTTTATTGGAAACTTCCACAGGCAAATTTCAAGCAAGATAGAGACAAAGTTGCTTTGTCACTAACAGAAGTGTTAAACTGTCTACTTCACACCTCTTACCAAACCCATGTCTTCATGAGGCAATGAAAAAATCCCTGAAAATGGTTCTGAAGGATTAGCAGAGGTGTGAAATCTCACCTTGCATAAGAAATATGTTTTGCTGTCTTTGTCACTTCAGTGTGGTTTCGTGGTTGTGAGTATTGACTTTTCCTGTCAGGCATTCAGGCAGTAGATGCTGACAGATGTCTGTATCAATCATCAGAGCAGTCTTGAGGATATACCCCATGCATTGAGAGGAGATAGAGATTTGTATTGAATTATAGCCAAGAAGCACTCAACAGAATTGTGATCAGGTCAACTTTGCACCTCACTGATCCTCAGCAGGTGATTCAGGCCAGTTGAAATCTACCCAGAGGGTCGGCATCCCTGGGAACCTCCACACCACACAAGAATTAGTTTATTCTTTAACTCACAAAGCAAGGACAGTATTTCCTTTATTCAGTGTTGCCAGAGCTGAGCTCCATTAAAATTCATGAACATTGGTGGATACATTTCTTCAGTTTGAAAAGGTGATAAAAATGGTGAGTGCAAGCAAGTTTGCATACTTGTCCTTTTCTTTCAAAACCTTGTCGTGATGATCTTGGCTACCTTGCAGTGCTGTGCTGTTAAATCATCCAACAGGGAGTGATGCAACACCAGACATGTGCAGAACCTGCTTGAGTGGCACACAAAATTGCTGTGCTAGTTCATGGGGATGAGTCAGAGGAGGAAGTCGCTGCAAGAGTATCGCACAAAGTATAAAGAATCTGAGGTAAAAAATGTGAAGAAGAGTGTTAGGGATGAGGATGCTGGATCTTTATATACAGATAAAATAGTGCTGAAATGCTGATGCAGTGAACATCATTTCAGAGCACATGAAACCTACAATTTACATCAACTAAATGTGAAGAGGGAAAAGAACAAACATGACCCATTATGGAAACAAGTTCAGCCATATTTGTAAAGAAGCAAATCTTGTGATGGCGCGTGCACATATTTTAGTGCGTGCTCTGCAGTATGAGAACATTTACTTCTACTTGAAATTCTGTAATTTGCGTATTTGTTCTGAGCAAAAATCAAAAAAGAGCTAGCTTACGAAGTATTTGGCCATCAAGTTTTTCTCTGTTGAGGATGGTCTGCAACTGGAGGGGCTTCCTGTAGTAAGTGCAGAGGGTATCTAAGGCCTACTCCTGCTACAGCCAAATCTCAATTCAGGTCTTTTTGGTCAATGTTGTTCTGGAAGGGTTTGGTTGTGCTGTGGCACTCGATGGACTGATGGTTTGGTGTTGGCTGCTGAGGACCCAATTAACGTGTGCCCTTGCCTGTTGTTCCTGTTGTTTCAGTCACTGTCAGCTGGACTTGCACTAACCTTAGAGACTGTGACCTGAGCAAAAGTATAATCTGTTTCTCTTCTATCACCTTCTGCAGGGCAAAATCACCTCCTCTTTGGTTTTTGTTCATTACTGCTAATAAGGCATTTGTAAATCCTTCTTTATTAAAGGAAACAAGATTGGTATGTTCCAAGTGACATCAAGCTGGAAGGAATCAGTTACCTACTTTAAAGTGTTGGAGAGAAATCTTGAAATCATCAGGATTACCAAAATCTCCTGAGAATATTTTTGTAAAACAAGTTTATTTTATAAATGTAAAACATGGTATCAGTTTCTGCAAGATGGGATATTTAAGAGTCTTACAAAATGTTAATGCACTTTTTTAATGTGACTGTAAAAAAACCTGAGGCTGGGTTCAGTTTCTCCTGGAGAAGGAAGAGATCACAAGCAAAGAGGTTCCTGCATTTCTGGAAAGATGAACAGCAATAATTTTCAAAGCATGCTACCAGGTATTGTAAGAACTATCTGTGTCTGAAATAGATGCACATATTGAGTGAATACTCAATTTTTAAAAAAAAAAGTTGAAGACAGGAGACAAGCAAAAAAATTTTTATAAGCATTTCAGGTATTACCTACAACCAGAGCAATTGTAGGAATAGTGATTCTAACCAAAAGAGTGTTCCAGTTTTTGTTACATCAGGTAAAATTAAGACAAATATCAAAGAATTAACAGAATGTTTTCAGAAAACTGAAATTGAAATAATAAAAGCTTCCCTACTTGAGCTTGTTTTTTCAGTGAAGTAGGAGGATACAATGATTTCTTGTTTGCTGGCTGAAAAATCAGAACTAGACACAAGAAGTTGGATAATATTCATGGACCAAAAATATGAGTTTTTCTTTCAAAGTTTAAAAAATAGGTTCAGTGTAATAGACCTGAAAATAATCTGCTTTTGGGAACTAGGGTATTTGTAGTATATCAGATAAAATAGCTCTCTTGGAATTTTTTCCTGTGGTCACATTGTTAAAAAGCTTTTAAATTTATGTTGTTGTTTTGGCAAAAAATATGAAATTGATGAAAAATTATGGCTGACAATACAAGCTGGAATGAATAACTACATATATATGTTGATTTTAGCCGTTGATTTTGAATAGCAATAAATCCAGAATTCTACCAGCTCAACTTATGGGAGGCTTTCAGCACAGTCAACCACAAAATGCAGTTGAACCACTCACAGAGCATAATTAGAGCAGATGCTGGTATAACATCCAACTGCTGTTCACGCTTTATTATGTTAAATCCTGCCTTTCCTGTTTATTTGGGTATTTTTCTTCTTCCTTCCCTAATACTAACCAAGACATCTTTTAGAAATTCCCCACAAAACCCAGAAGGACCTTGCTATTTTATTCCAGGAGCAGCCTAGAACAGTTTTGTGAGTGTGTCCATGTGTGTGATCTGTTCTGTACAGTGTATTTTAAAAAGAAAAGCAATGCTTTTGCTAGTATTGAGGCACATGTAACTAGGCAGCATCAAGAAGCCTTATGATTGAATTCAGGTTGCACCTAAAAATTCAGGTTTATGCCCAGATTTTTGATTTGGCCTGACTTGTTACTGCTTTTCTGCTATGCCCTCTCCCAAACTTCTCTTTTTGATTGTAAATTAAGCTCTGCAGGGAGGAAAACTCCTTCTCCAGTATCTTGTGAAGCAGAATAGGATCTTAGTGTTGGTTGAGACACCAGGTCCGTATTGTGATATAAATAAAAAATAAACAGAATGAACACAAGTTGAGGGGATTCATAAATTCATCTCACTGAATACAAACTGGAGGGTTTTTTCTTTTTTTTTATTTTCCTGGTTTATTGCAAATGATTTGAAATGAAACTCTCTAGCTTACAGAAGATCATTCAGCGTTAGCTATTTAAAAACTTTTACTGAAATGGAGTGAAATAAGTTTGTTATTTATGAAGTTCATCTCACAAGTTCCCAATTTGGTGAAAACTGTTTTATTTTGCTTCACATTTGAAACCTGCAAATAGCTGAGTTAATTTAACTAAAATGAGCATTCTCAAGATGACCTGTAAAGGGGAAAAAAAAATCGAACCCAACTGTACTTTAATCTAGAAACCATCAAAGCCTTCTTGACACATGTATTATTGTAGGGCTCAGAAAAAATAAACAGTTTATGAAGAAGATTAAGAGAGAGTTTGGATTTTGCTTTTGACATATCTTGTCTCCAAATCTTAGCTGAGGATTTATTAGAACACTATCATGTCAAAGCTACCTCATTTATATGATAACACATCTGTAATGTTTTACAAGTGCAGCAGTCCTCGTTCAGAATGTTGCTCTTTAAGTCCTAAATTACAGTACCTGGAGAGGTATGCATAATTATAGTGCATGTTAGCAAATGATAGGATGCATTTTCCCCTAGGCTCTCTGCATTAATCATCAGCAGAGTGGGTGCAATAAAATCATAATTGCTTCTTCAAAAGTTATAATCTAACTTATACAACTTTAAGTTAGTTGTATGGCAATACGATATCGACTGGCACGGAGCAAGCCCGTTTCCTTCATTTCCTTAAAATTAAGGTAGTGTTGCTCGGTGGTGAACTGTAATTAGCATCATTTTCATTTACAGATTTGAGTTTTAGATCCTGAGTGAGTGCATGATGGTGTAAGCTCCAAGCTTGATGAAACGATGGTGATTTACATGAGCTGAGGGCCTCTGGGCTGATCTCTGCTTATTTGTTGAGCTGCCTGCAGTCAGTTGGGTGGATGATTAACCTCTTCTGTCTCCTTGACTAGCAATTGTAGCTGAAAAAAAAAGACTGTGTTAAGGAAAGGAGTTATTTTACATAAGAATCCTGGTTTGTATTCTTCAGTTTGGGTATGGGATTCCCCAGAGGAAGATTTTGCTGTAGAGGCTGAGCTGGTCCCGTGCAGCTGTGCCAAGGAGCAGTTGGGCACCTCCCTCGTTCCCACCTGCCTGTTCAGGTAACTTCCCTGGCGTCAGCTCTGGTGATGCTTTGACCTCACGGTGATTCAACTTGGAGATGTGACCTGGCAGGAAACCGGATCCCACCCCTCTCCCCTGTGGAAGAGTTTCATGCTGGTTTTGCTTCCTGAATTCCTTCATTTTCTTGTCAGATGAACGCCAATGACCCCGTGTGAGGCTGTATGATAGGTAAGTGTAGGATGGAACCAGTTAAAGGTACTCACATCAGCTGTCATAAAGCCAAGCCTACAATCAGAGATCAAAGCAAGCCTTTAATTATTTAGGAAACATCACTGATGTAATCAATACACCTTACAAAAACAATTTTTCACTCCAATTCATTGCTTCTTAGGGTGATACATACACACACAGGGGCATGACATGCGTATGTACACACACATGTGTATATATATATTTATATGCACACATATAGACACTCACACATAAAATGAATTTTCTATTCTTTGAAGTTTGGCCAACTTTTCCATGTGTTTGCAGCAGCCGTGTGTAAGGGTGTGTACACAGAGCCTATCTGAGACCCAAGGGACTCAGAAGGGTAATGGATGTGATAGAAAAGCAAGTTTTTTCAGTTTTGTACAATCCTATTCCTTAAGATCAGGTCTGTAAATTAAGATCTGAACCTACACATTGTAGGCTGGATCCTGCAAATAAGGCGTTCTGGCCACAATCCAGTAAAGCACTTAAATATATGTTTTAACATTAGGTGCATGTCTTGTTATGGTATTACTTCAAAGGGGCTTCTTTTGCTTAAAATTAAGCACATACTTAAACACAAAGTTATATATTTGAATGAGCTGGAGAGCTCAGCACCTTGCTTCTTCACTGAGCAAATATAATCACCAAGAAAACAAACAAACAAAACAGAAGCCTCCACCTTTTCCAGACAAGCACTTCCATTGTTGGTTTGTAGCTAATTAGCAGAGAAACACAGAAGTTCACTCTGCTTTCCACAGCTTTGAACACTTGGTGCTCACCATGGCAGGCGTTGCAGGGACTGCTGCTCGTGCTGCTCTCAGAGCTGCCGGGACCCCTCTGCGATGCTCCACTGCTCCTTTGCTGACCACAGAGAAAATCGAGGCTCTGGATTTTCCCCAGAATTTTTTTTCAAGTATTTTCCCCAAAATCCAGAGAGCAGAGGCTGTGTTGAGGTGCATCCCCAAGTCATAGCTTGCATCCAAGTTGTGCTCAGCCACTGCTGCCACCCAGTTCTGCCCTTTCTGTGATTCCGGCTTTATGGGCACGGCAATTACGCATTTAATACTTGATTTGCATGAGATTAAGCTGCACACTTGTGAAATGCAAGCTGGTGCTAAACACCCTTAAAAGGGCTTAGAAGCATCCAAAAATAATGTGTTTCACAGTAAGTATTTGCTGAAGTGCAGAAAATGGGAAAAGTTCCTCTCCACAGTTCACTTTATGTTGAGTTTTGGAAGGAAACTGTCCTTAAAGATACCAGGCTGTCCCCCTTTTATGCCAGAAATACAAAATATAATAAATAGAGAGTAATCTCTTACCAATCAAAGCATCTTTACTTAGTTTTCTAAGGCTTTTAAGTCTCCTGCAGATCTGAATTTTGTTTCTCTCTCCAGCTTGCTGGTGTTAATAACCAATACTGTTAGGCAATGGAATTCCTGAGAGTTAAAAATAGACTTTCATTAGCTAAAATGTACCATGCAGTTGTGCATTTAAATGCCACGTGCAGTTTGGGGGAAAATAATCTTAAGAAAAAAAAGAAGAAAAAGGATTGACTTTATTTTTGTACTCCGAAAACTTGGTTTTAAATTATTTTAAAATGCATCCCAAGTCACAACAAGCTGCTGTGTATCAGGTCACACTGCCTCCTCCAAAATCATGCTTATCTTTAAATTTTCCTTTCATAAACATTTGGCAAATATAACATCAATTTAAGCTGTAATGACCACATTTAATTTTCATTTTAAATTTATTCTGTTACTATATATTGGTATCCTGGTTGATGCCAAGTCAGCCAGCCACAGGTCTGTTTTTCATTTATGCATTGAACTTCTTTAGGTTAGACATGCTCAAGAGTCCTGGTTTAATGCATAACCCTAATTATAACTTAGAATTAAGCTACTGCTGACTGCAGCATTTTAGGCAGGGGAATCAAAGAATGTATCTAATGAAAAAAAGCACAACTCCACCCCTCACTAGTACCTTATCTTTATACATTTTTTTATGTTCCTTTTTTTTTTTTTTAGATTGAGTGCATAATACAGCTATAAACCAGCAGTTTAGATAATATAGTCAGCTTGTCAGTTTATATATGTCTACTCTGAGCTTAAGAGTTTTCTGTTTGCTTTGAATTGGGCCTCACTTCTTATTAAAATGCTACAAGCTTTTAAGAGATTGTAGTATCACAGACCAGTGATAGCTCAACATTCTAATATATCATTATGCTGGACCTATATCTGTGCACTCTAAAATTGCATTACTGTTTAAGCTGGTTGAAATATTTTTGCAAAATGTTTGGTTTTGGATGAAGAATGCCTTGCCAGCCATGCAGAACTGTGATGAGGAAATTCTTAGAATGTTCTGATGAAAATGGCTTTGAGGTTTTTTTTAATGGAGAAACTAAAAATGAAATTCAGAGCACTGTTCAATTACAATCAAAATACTGGGGTTTCCCCACATTTTTACAGGGAGTGAAATATTTTTAAGGACAAGATCTTGTGGTCACTTCAAACTTGTGTCAATTTCATATGTCAGATTGGATCATTGGGAACTTAATGGACAAGAAAGGTGAGGTCTTATCATTTGGGTCTTTACTCCCAAAATAAATCAGTTCTTATTAATAGAAGCAGGTTTTTAGAAGCAGGGGGATGATTAATGATTACCCATGTTACATGGGTCAGAAGGAAACGTGGCCTGGGGAGATGCCATCATGGAAAATAAGACCAGGAAGAACCTGATGGGCCAGGAGGAGCATCATGCTCCAGTGGGACTCCAGGACAGGGTCACGGAGGCTGGAGTGATGAGCTGGGATCAGAGCAGCACCCCCCTGTATTCATTGCACAAAGACAAACCTCTCACTGAGAGATGGAGAGCAAGTGAAAGTCCTGGCAGGGTACCTTTGTGCACCAGCCTTTCTGCCGTCCCTCTCCCCATGGTACCTCCCTAGGGCCAAGGAATCCCTCTCCTGCTCTCCAAGAACCCTTGAAGATACTGCACCTAATTCTGCTCCTTTTCACTGGCTTCACCTGAGGGTAACACGTCTATTTCCCTAGAATTAATCCAGATGTGTGCTGGCTTTGTGGCTGCAGTGAGAATCCTTTGCCATTGGAATATGAGACTGTGTTTTCATTCCTGTGACAGTTCTTATGCCTGCCTGCTGTCTGCAGGAAGCTCGTCAGCGAGAGTTAACGCTGCGTGATAAAATACTAATGTTTTTCTTCTTTGGGAACAGGGAAACTAAAAAAATCTGGGTTTGTACTACCATTCCACTTGTTCTGCGTGGGCATTCAGCTGTACTGCCAGGAGCTGGGAACGTTTACAATCCTGGTGTAAATGAAAGCAGACAGAAGCAATGGAGAAACAGGCTGTGCAAGCCTGGGGGCTTGTCCATGCACAATAGTAGCATCAGTTCAGCTGCAAAATCCATTTAGCTGAACCAGTGTATGTCTCTGATTGGACACACTTAAATTGGTTTATAACCAGCTTACATCAAATTAGTTTAAATCAGGAAGTTACCATAATAGCTGCATCAACCCGTAATTGTCTAATTTGTGTATAGGATGGTCGCAAACCAGTTGCCTTTCTTCCATGCAGGCTTTTGCACTGCTTTAGATAATTTAAAAACTGTTAAACCAGCAAAACCTTTGTCTGTGGACAAGCCCTAAAGCTCAAAGTTTATGTGAGCTGGGACAGGGAGTGAGCAGGGGCTCTGTGCTGGCTCTGTGCTGCAGCACATGCTCCCAAAGCCTGTGGAAAACGAGATGACAGGCACTTTAAAGCAAGAATGGGACACAAGACACTAATTTTCCAAAACAGTTTATTGCTCTATGTGATGGAAAAGTATGAGGTAAAGAAGTTCAGGACTCCTTGCTGTGACCCAGGGGTTTTTATGAGCTGTGTTCACAAGCATGGAGAGGTCAAAGGAAATCTGTCCTGAGCTGTGTGGGGTCACGTTTCACCCCACGAGCTGGAGCAGCCTTGAGCCTTCTCTGGGTTTAGTCAAAGGATAGCAACACCCAGCAGGCAGCGAGGCTGGTGAGACGTGTTCCATCCCTTGAACTGTTCAGGATGGAGCTGGAACAGGAAATGTTGCTTTTGCTATATGTTAATTGTGGTTCAGAGCTGTTTTGGAAAGACAAGCCCCTCTGGACAGCAAAGGGAGAGGCGGCTTGAAAGTGTGACATTGTGGAAACAAAGGCAACAGGAGAATGACACCACGAGTGAGGTTATCTCAACAGTTCTGTAACTAAAAATGGCTTAAATTGTTTCCAAAATGAGTTCTTACAGAGCAGAGAGAAAGCCTCTGATTTCAAGGGTTCCTAAAATACTTTTGGAACGAAACTCTGAATGTTCTGTGGGTGTTGATCACTGGAGTGCTCAGTAGTACTCGAGCTCTGAGTTCACACCATTAAAGCTTTGTCGACATTACTGAAAGCGTCCTCTAACACACTGAAGCAAGCTCAAGAGGCTGTATTTATGTTCTCAGGCTGACTTTAGGGCTGTTGCTGGCAAGCTGTCAATAAAAGAACTTATTAGTCAGGGAGACAGCTTGGAATGAAGAGTTGTTTAAGAGTTCACTTATGAATGGGAACACAAAGGTGAGCAGAAGGAACTTTCTGAATGTTTAGCAATGGGAATACCAAGAAACAGTTTTATCAAGGTAACTCTGTTCAGGATGCCCAGCAGTAAATGTGCTAGATAGTTTGTTGGGGTTTTTTTGGTTTTGGTTTTTTTTTTTTTTTTTCTGTGAAATGCTCCTCCAGTTCTGCAAGTATAGAAGCTGTTTTATCCTGTAAGAAATATAAGGGAAAATTGGTTTGATTTTCCCTTTTTTTTTTTTTTTTTTTTTTTTTTTTTTTCCCTCTTACTTTTTTTGAATGTGTGGAAGAGCAAGGCGGTTTTCACAGCAATAGAAAATGTAATGATACATTTCCCCTGCATGAGGCTTCTGGACATTTTCTTACTTTATAAAAGTATATTGAGATGCCATGGTAAGTAGTATTGTACCCACTAGATAATCCTACTGGACTTGAGAGCATTGTGGGATATTACTGCTGGTAAAGAGTAACTTGCAGAGGAATGGAAATAGCTATGAGAAATAGCACAAATCTAATGTTCAAAGAGCAGTGCTTGGAGAAAGGAGGAGCCTACTTTTGTAAGAAATAGATTTCTTACACTATGCAGACCATCTTTAAAGACTGAAGTGATCCTAGTGAAAACCATGGGAAAGAGAAAATAAGAGCGAAACAAATGGATCCATAAAGGGACTGACTGAAAGCTAAATCACAGTTTGTGGGGATCGTTCACTTGCTCCTGATGGTTTTGTGTTGGCCTAAGAGGAACTTGGGATAAAACAAAAACTTGGCTCACTGTGGCTCAAACTCAAAGTATTTGTGCAGAAGCTAATGTATAAGTGGTACCCCATTTACAAGAGGTGGATGGCTTTCCAAAAGCCCCCTTCATGTAAATTTTTGTCAGCCCAAAGCTCTGACAATGACAGCACATCTCATAATGGCCATGCTGTTCCTGGATCATGGTGTGGTGATTTATTTTCCTTCAGGTTTTGCTAGCAGTGGTGGGGAGTCAACCCTCCTTGCTTCACCCTGGGAATGGCCTTGGCCTTTTTTTGTTTGCAGTGGGAAGGCTGGTTGCCAATGAGCAGTTCTAAAGTCACATTTTCACTTGCATTCTGGGCAATACCTCCCACATTTTAGGCTCTGCAGCACTCAGTGTAAATGGTTCCTTAGAGCTACTTTGGCAGCCAAAAAAAGTGATATTGTATTGAATTTCTGGCACTGCCACTCACTGAATTGCCAACACAGCTGTAGCAGACCTCCAGGTCTGGATGTATCTGGCTAAAGCAGAAGATCCCTGTGTTTCCTGACTGGACTCCATGTAATCCATGGCACTCAAGATCTGATCTGGGGCAGCCAAGCAGAAATGTGACTCCTTTCTGCCAAAGGCATTTCAGCAGTGATTTC